GTCACAGGTGGCGCTGGGCCGTGGCGGGCAGGGCGGGCAGGCCAGCAGCGGCCAGCGAGATGCAGTTGAGGTTTTCCTCCTTTTCAGGGAATGGGGGGGTGGGGCGGGGCCCCCCACCTTTCTGACATCAGCGCTGCCTGATCCCTCCTCCCGAGCCGGGGATGGTCGCAGGTAAATCGGGGTCCGGGGCAGGGGAGGCGGGGTGGACTGGCTGGGGCGGGCTGGGTCTTTATCCTAGCACCTGGTTCCCTCCCTTGCCCCCTCCAAGCTGGACCTGGGACTGCCCCCCGAGGGACCCCGAGTCGGGCCTGGGCCTTGGAGTGAATTCTCTGCTCACCCCTCTCTCCTCCGCCAGCACTAACCCTTTCTTCCCAGGTCTTCTACGGCGCTGGGAGCAGGACCTCATCGCACCGTCTCTCTTCACGCCCCGCAGCTCTCCTCCCCTGCCCCTCTGGGAACCCCTTCCTCTCATGTGCCCTCCTTCCCCCACCATGTGCACCAGTGTCAGTGTCTGCTGAGCAGAGACCCTGCCGGCTGGGGCAGGGCTAGGGCCCAGGCAGGGCAGGGCTAGCTGGCTGGTCCCCCACCCAGCCTCTGAAAGCCTTTCCTTGGCTGTTGACGGAGTGGGGACAGGTCAGGCACAAGGGCCCTGTGCCTCTCCTCTCCTGGAAAGGGGCATTCTGACCCCACAGTGGGTACAGGGATGTCACTTGGCCTTGCAATTTTTGCAGGAGGAAGACAGTGGAGTTAAAAAAAAAAAAATTCTCTATCCTGTGTGGTTGGTGAAGAGGGGGGAGGGGGAACCTTGACTGAAGCTCTGGGCAGGGGTGGGGACAGGCCTGAGTCCCAGGGAAGCTGGGGAGGGCATACTACAGCGGGAAGTCTCCCTGCCCATTCTGAGTCACGTGGTGTCTCTGAAGGGGGCCTTACCAAGACCCTTCTCCCCAGCCTGTGGGGTCTCTAGCAGTCAGGAAGGAAAGAGGGACACCTCCCCCCACACTAACCCTGCTCTTAATGGCCTCCAGGGAAAGGGGCAGCTGGGGGGGGGGCTCCCAGCCAGAACCCCCTCCCCATCACCAGCCCTACCAAGCAACCATGACTGCAGCTGCAGGAGGGGAGAGCCTGGTCCTCTGGCAGCTGTGACCAACTTGCTTTCTCCTCTCTCCTCCCCTTGCCCTGCTCCGCTCCGCTCCGCTCCTCCCCACCCCCCGGCCCGGCCCAGTCTTCGTATGCCCAGGGACCCTGCAGAAGGTGCTGGAGCCCACCTCGACACACGAGTCGGAACACCAGTCTGGTGCGTGGTGCAAGGACCCGCTGCAGGCCGGGGACCGCATCTACGTGATGCCTTGGATCCCCTACCGCACGGACACGCTGACCGAGTACGCCTCCTGGGAGGACTACGTGGCCGCCCGTCACACCACCACCTACCGCCTGCCCAACCGCGTGGACGGCACCGGCTTCGTGGTCTACGACGGCGCGGTCTTCTACAACAAGGAACGCACACGCAACATCGTCAAGTACGACCTCCGGACTCGCATCAAGAGCGGGGAGACAGTCATCAACACAGCCAACTACCACGACACCTCGCCGTACCGCTGGGGCGGCAAGACCGACATCGACCTGGCGGTGGATGAGAACGGGCTGTGGGTCATCTACGCCACCGAGGGCAACAACGGGCGGCTGGTGGTGAGCCAGCTCAACCCCTACACGCTGCGCTTCGAGGGCACCTGGGAGACGGGCTACGACAAGCGCTCGGCCTCCAACGCCTTCATGGTGTGCGGCGTGCTGTACGTGCTGCGCTCCGTGTACGTGGACGACGACAGCGAGGCGGCCGGCAACCGCGTGGACTACGCCTTCAACACCAACGCCAACCGCGAGGAGCCCGTCGGCCTCGCCTTCCCCAACCCCTACCAGTTCGTCTCTTCGGTGGACTACAACCCGCGCGACAACCAGCTGTACGTCTGGAACAACTACTTCGTGGTGCGCTACAGCCTGGAGTTCGGGCCGCCCGACCCCAGCGCAGGTGAGCACGGCTGTGTCCAGCGCTGGGGCTGCCCCACCTCTGAGTCGTGAGACGGGCAGGTGGGCTCAGGGGACGTCCGGGGCAGAAGGAAGCCACAGCATGGGACAGGCGCTGGTGGGAGCACCCTGTAGCCTTCAGCGGGAGCCACCACTGTCCTCACTTGACAGAGGAAGAAACTTGAGGCAGGCCAGGGTGGCTGGGCATTTCACTCACCTGAGTCAGGATTTGAACCCAGGACTCTGAGCTCCTAAGCACTAACCCACACTGCCTCTCCCCGGGACCCATGCCCAAGTCTGTGAAACAGCAGAGCCGCTGGTGTTGACCCAGGCAGGGCCCGCTCTGGGTGACGCAGCAGCTGAGGTGCCCCTGGCAACATACTGACCTTATCAGGTCTCAGCCTGGCTGGTCACAGGAGAGAGGACACAGGTACGGAGACTGGGTCGGGTAGAATGAGAATGGGCAGTGACCCAGCCGTGTGGTCCTCAGACACCGCCCTCCTGCCACTCACCTCTGCGTGGGTCTCCGGGCCCCATGGCCTCGTCTGAGTCCCTTGGCCTCTTGGGTGCATGCGACCTCTGCTCTCTTCCAGGATTAAATGATGGGAGGAGAGCTGACCCAGGCCCAGAGCATGCCGTGTGGTAGCCCCCAAGCTTGTGAGTCACCCCATTTCCTTTCCCCTCCCCCTTCCAGGCCCAGCCACTTCTCCACCCCTCAGCACGACCACCACAGCCCGGCCCACCCCGCTCACCAGCACAGCCTCACCTGCGGCCACCACCCCGCTCCGCCGGGCACCCCTCACCACGCACCCCGTGGGTGCCATCAACCAGCTGGGACCTGACCTGCCTCCAGCCACAGCCCCAGCGCCCAGCACCCGACGGCCCCAGGCCCCCAATCTGCACGTGTCCCCCGAGCTCTTTTGTGAACCTCGGGAAGTGCGGCGGGTCCAGTGGCCGGCCACCCAGCAGGGGATGCTGGTGGAGAGGCCGTGCCCCAAGGGGACACGAGGTGAGTGGGGCATGCAGACCTCGGCCAGGTTCACTGTGACAGGTGGGCTGGGAGGGGCGATGGAGCTTAGTGTTAAGGGAACATCCCTCTGGGAGGAGGGCTCTGCAACACTCGGCCCCTCCTCTACTAAACTCGCTTGCCACAGCTGAGGGAGGACAGCCCAGGAGCAGTGGAGGTGAAGAGGCCACTGGGCTGTTCTGGCCCAGGGGCAGGAGGCAAGATGGAGGGGGGCTTGGGGAAGTGGGGAGCACTGCATCTCAACTACGTACTGCTTCATCTGTCCTCCGTGTCCCCTCCCCTGTGTTCTTGCCCACCCATCCCGTGTGTGTCTGTCTCCTTCCCCGCCGTTGCCTGTGCTTGTCTGCTGTCCTTCCACTCCCTCCTCTGCCCTGTCTGTCTGTCCCTGCAGGAATTGCCTCCTTCCAGTGTCTGCCGGCCCTGGGGCTCTGGAATCCCCGGGGCCCTGATCTCAGCAACTGCACCTCCCCCTGGGTCAACCAGGTGGCCCAGAAGGTATCAGCAGCGGCCACCACCCCTAAACACACACACATACACCATGGCCATGCAAGGGGAGTCAGCTGGGGGGACAGCAGGCCCCAAGTCTGGAAGGCAAGGCTGTCCCAGCCTATAAAGGGAGCGGTGGGCCAGGGGATAGAATGGGGCGTGAGGGTGGGGTGGGGGTGCACAGGGTGGCCCCGACAGCTGGTGCCCATGTGCCCATCTGACACAGATCAAGAGTGGGGAGAATGCAGCCAACATTGCCAGCGAGCTGGCCCGCCACACCAGGGGCTCTATCTATGCGGGCGACGTCTCCTCCTCTGTGAAGCTGATGGAGCAGCTGCTGGACATCCTGGACGCCCAGCTACAGGCCCTGCGGCCCATCGAGCGCGAGTCAGCCGGCAAGAACTACAACAAGGTGGGCCCTGCAGCGGGGCGGGCAGCGCCGCCGTGCTCCCAGGCAGCATCAGCTGGGCGTGCCGAGCCAGGCTAGCACGCTCGGAGGGTGCCAAGGGCCTGCCCTGTGGAGGTGGCGGGGTACCCACAAGGGAACTCCCAGGCCCCTGATGTCAGTGTGGGGATGGGGACCTGACGCCACCTCCGTCCCGTCCCCTAGATGCACAAGCGCGAGCGAACCTGTAAGGACTACATCAAGGTGAGCCAGCTCAGGCGGCCGGGGGAGGGCCTGGGCAGTGGGCAGTGGGTGCTCACGGTGTCCCGGCCCCCTGTGCAGGCCGTGGTGGAGACGGTGGACAACCTGCTGCGGCCAGAGGCTCTAGAGTCCTGGAAGGACATGAACGCCACGGAGCAGGTGCACACTGCCACCATGCTGCTGGACGTCCTGGAGGAAGGGGCCTTCCTGCTGGCCGACAACGTCCGGGAACCCGCCCGCTTCCTGGCCGCCAAGCAGAACGTGGGTACGTGCCACCTCGCCCAGGGCATGTCCGGGGGACTCGCGCAGACCAAGATTGGGGTTACCAAGGGGGTGTCCTTGTCAGCCTGGGCCTCTTGACCAGCAGCACAAGCCTGCCCTTCCTGTCCCCACAGTCCTAGAGGTCACCGTCCTGAACACAGAGGGCCAAGTGCAGGAGCTGGTGTTCCCCCAGGAGTACGCCAGCGAGAACTCCATCCAGCTCTCCGCCAAGACCATCAAGCAGAACAGTCGCAACGGTCAGTGCCGGGGACCCCGCAGCAGCCCCTGCCCAGCTCCGCCCGCCTCCCTGGAGCAGAGCTCCCCTCCGCCACCTGGGTCAGAGATTCCAAGTACAGTCTGGGCCCCATCAGAACATAGCGAGACGGCTCCACAGCCAGGCTCTCCTGAGTGGGCCCTTGCCAGGTGGATCCTCACGGGGGCAGGACTGACCCACATGAGGCTGAGGCTGAGAAAATGAGCACAGAGCTCAGAGCCGCACAGCGAGCGAGGGTCGGCCAAGAGCCCTTTGAACTGCCTGCATTTGCGCAGCAGTGCGGTGGGGAGGGGGCCCTCCCAGCAGGTCTTGGTAGAGAACATTCCAGGGGCAGGCAAGGCCTCGGGCCGAAGAGCTGGGGGGTGGTGCACTCCCTTGGACTGGTGGCCTGACTGGTGCACCTACCCTTCCCAGGGGTAGTCAAGGTCGTCTTCATCCTCTACAACAACCTGGGCCTCTTCCTGTCCACGGAGAATGCCACGGTGAAGCTGGCCGGAGAGGCGGGCGCGGGCGGCCCGGGTGGTGCCTCGCTGGTGGTGAACTCGCAGGTGATCGCTGCATCCATCAATAAGGAGTCCAGCCGCGTCTTCCTCATGGACCCCGTCATCTTTACGGTGGCCCACCTGGAGGTAAGTGGAGGTGTCCTGCTCCCTGCAGGGGGTCCCAGCATGTTCCTCCTTTTCTCCGTGTGCCGTTCTCCGTGTGCCGTCCCTCCTTCACCAGTGTGAGCAGTTTGTCCCCAGGGATCCCAGGCAGTCCCCATGACCGGGAAAGCCTCGGGCCCTTCTGTTGGTGAGGGGCTCAGACCGGACGCCCTGGTTCTGACTCCCGGCCACACTTCACCACAGGCCAAGAACCATTTTAATGCGAACTGCTCCTTCTGGAACTACTCGGAGCGCTCCATGCTGGGCTACTGGTCGACCCAGGGCTGCCGCCTGATAGAGTCCAACAAGACACACACCACGTGTGCCTGCAGCCACCTGACCAACTTCGCCGTGCTCATGGCCCACCGCGAGATCGTGAGTGCCTGGCGCCGTTCCTAGGCCTTCCTGGCCTGGCAGGACGTCTCACCAGACACACTCAGGGGCCGACCAGGGAGGGGCAGGCACAAGGCTCTCTGGTCACAACCCTGCCTCCTCCAGGGCCCTCGGGAGAGCAGCTCTGGGTGTCCTTCTGTCCCTTCTTCCCAAGCAGCAGAAAGAGGGTGGCCCCTGCACAAGGCCAGCTGTGGGGGGCGGGGCGAGTGGGGTCCAGGCCCCAGACCCTGAGCACCGCTTGTCTGCCCCAGTACCAGGGCCGCATCAACGAGCTGTTGCTGTCTGTCATCACGTGGGTGGGCATCGTGGTCTCGCTGGTCTGCCTGGCCATCTGCATCTCCACCTTCTGCTTCCTGCGGGGGCTGCAGACTGACCGCAACACCATCCACAAGAACCTGTGCATCAACCTCTTCTTGGCCGAGCTGCTCTTCCTCGTCGGCATAGACAAGACTCAGTATGAGGTGGGCGGGCACGCAGGGCAGGGGCAGCGGAGACGGGGTGGGGGCGGGGGCGGGGCGGGCCCTCTTTTACCGGCAAGCTCCGCTGTCTCCCCAGATCGCTTGCCCCATCTTTGCCGGCCTGCTGCACTACTTCTTCCTGGCGGCCTTCTCCTGGCTCTGTCTGGAGGGCGTGCACCTCTACCTGCTGTTGGTGGAGGTGTTTGAGAGCGAGTATTCCCGCACCAAGTACTACTACCTGGGCGGCTACTGCTTCCCCGCCCTGGTGGTGGGCATTGCGGCGGCCATCGACTACCGCAGCTACGGCACTGAGAAGGCGTGAGTGTGTCCCCGGCTGCCCCTGCTGCCCTGGCCCCCTCTTGGCAGCGCCCCTGCCCCGGGCCCTGGTGCAGGAGGCTGGCCCTGCTCTACCCCGCCATCTCGTCCACAGCTGCTGGCTCCGCGTGGACAACTACTTCATCTGGAGCTTCATCGGCCCCGTCTCCTTCGTCATCGTGGTAAGCCGAGAGGCGGCTTCCCGAGACGCCCTGGTGGGCACTGAGCTGGCCAAGAGAAGGGAAGCCAGTGCGTCTGTGGGGCATCCAGGAGCCGTGCTGGGGCCCTTAGTGGCCCACGGCAGGGTAGTCAATCGAGCCAGCGGTGGGCGCATGACGGGTGGGCTGCATCCCGGCCTCCCCGGCCAGTGAATGCAATTCGTCCGAGGACCGCCTGCCCAGGGTTCCCTGAGGGCACCGCGGATGCCCGTGCCCAGCCAGTCTCCTCCCTCCGCCCAGGTGAACCTGGTGTTCCTCATGGTGACGCTGCACAAGATGGTACGCAGCTCTTCTGTGCTCAAGCCCGACTCCAGCCGCCTCGACAACATCAAGTGAGCGCTGGTGCACGTGCACACATACATGCGCGCATGCACATGCACGCAGGAACCGCCCGCCGCATAGGGAGGATGGGCCTCTCCCAAAGTCCCCTACTGTTAGTCCATGTGCCTCTGGCGGGTCTGCGGTGTGAGCGTAACTCCGCAGGTCCCTGTGTCTGAACCTGTGGTTTTATAGACCAAACGGGTCAAAGGCCGTAGTTGAAGGTGAGTCCGTTTTAAGGGCAGCGGAAAGAAGAGGAAGCAGTATCCCTAAGTGGTCTGAGTAGAAAGCAGAAATGATGGCAGCAGGGGAGTGACTCAAATTAGCAAAACTGACAGACACACACACCTGGCCCGGCCGAGTGTTGCTGGGCAGGGTCTGCGTGCTCTTACACATCCCAGCCTACCAAGGGTCAGCTCCCACAAACACACTGGGCGGGGATGGAGCCTGGCTGCAGCTGCTCCCCTCTCTGGGGGCTCTGACGTCCCCACCCTGGTCCACCGCAGATCCTGGGCCTTGGGGGCCATCGCGCTGCTCTTCCTGCTGGGTCTCACCTGGGCCTTCGGCCTCCTCTTCATCAACAAGGAGTCTGTGGTCATGGCCTATCTCTTCACCACCTTCAACGCCTTCCAGGGGGTCTTCATCTTCGTCTTTCACTGCGCCTTACAGAAAAAGGTGAGGGGGGAGGGGGGGAGGGGGGGCGCTCCGGGGCCTTCTCTGAGACACCCCACCCAGGTCAGACCCGAAGAGACATTCTGCAGCGGGTTACCCATCGGGCCGCTAACTCAAGGTCAGCAGTTCTAAACCACCGGCAGGTCTGTGGGAGACAGATGAGGATGCCCGAGAGGGTTGCTATGCGTTGGCACCCACTTGAAGGCAGTGTGTTCTGCAGAGGGAGCAGTGGGTTTGGGTCCCACTGTGACAGGGGCCAGGCTTAGGGCTGAGGAAGCCTTTGGGGGACAGAGCAGGAGGCTCTAGGCCAGCAGTTCTCAACCTGTGGGTCACAACCCCTTTGGTGGTCAAATGACCCTTTCACAGGGGTCGCTTGATTCATAACAGTAGCACAATTCCAGGTATGAAGTAACCACGAAAATAACTTTTAATACGAGGGAGCTTCTTCGCACAGTTTGTGAGAAAAGGAAAAGCTAAAGATGGTGGCACTTTCCCGTGAACTCTTTGAAGCCCCTCGTGTGTTGCGATCTGAATTATATGCATACATCCGAAAGGAACAGCTGCACGCAAGTGACGGGAGAGGGCAGAGGTAACTCAGCTCCTGACGGGCATCCAGGTGGCGTAAGGTCTCTGCTACTGACTGCTAATCCAAAGGTTTGCGGCTGAGTCCCACCAGCCACTCCATGGACGGAAAGCTGGGCAAACTGCCTCCCTGAAAATTACCCCAAATAAAAACAGACCTACTGCCATCGAAGCACTTCCGATTCATGGCAACCCTGCTATTTAGGATTTCTGAGGCAATAAATCTTCACGGGAAGAACAGGTAGCCTCATCTTTTGCCCTCAGAGCTATGGGTGGATTTGAACTGCCGACCTCACAGTTAACAGTCCAGTGCTCAGCAAGTGCCACTTGGGCTCTGTAAAGCTCACAGCCAAGAAAGCCAGTTCTGCTCCACCCCGTGGGTCAGAACACCACCGCTCCTGACTGAGGGGGTGGAAAGCAAGCTGAGGAAGGAATCTGTAGGCTTCGTCCCGAAGGCGAGGAAGCCGCGGGGCCGAGCTGGTTTAAGAGAGGTTCTTGGACTCTGGAGTGGGGAGTAAGACGCCCAGAGAGGCACTAGAGGTGGTCTTTACGTTCTGTCTCTGCCAACCAGCTCCTCTGTCATTAGAGGGTAGGCTTTTTATTCACTTCTACCTGGGGGTCCTAAACACACCCTCGGAAAGAAGAAAGGTGAACGCCCTGAGTGCAGCCCCTGGTGCAGATGGAGAAGAGGAGGCGCACGCACCTGGTGGCACAGGGAGCGCAGGGTGACACCAAGGCTCTGGTGGCCTCTCCAGCCTGGCCCGAGGAATGGGCTCTGCAGGAGTCTATTCTGTCTGACACGCGCCCTCCCCGCAGGTGCACAAGGAGTACAGCAAGTGCCTGCGTCACTCCTACTGTTGCGTCCGCTCCCCGCCGGGGGGCACGCACGGCTCCCTCAAGACCTCAGCCATGCGCAGCAACACCCGCTACTACACAGGGACCCAGGTACGGAGGGGTGGGGTTGGTGCCTGGTCCCAGTTTCTGAGCTTGACCACGTGAGGATGCTGCCGGGCGGGGGTTGCGGGGGAGGGGGGAGAGGCCCCTGAGAACCTCCTCACACCTGGGCCATATCCGCCCGCAGAGCCGGATCCGGAGGATGTGGAACGACACCGTGAGGAAACAGACGGAATCCTCCTTCATGGCAGGTGACATCAACAGCACCCCCACCCTGAACCGAGGTGAGAAGGGGGTCCCTCAGCCGGGCTCCAGCAGGTTCATGCCTCCGGACTGCCTTCTGACCTCTGACCTCCTGGGCAGGTACCATGGGGAACCACCTACTGACCAACCCTGTGCTGCAGCCCCGTGGAGGCACCAGCCCCTACAACACTCTTATTGCTGAGTCAGTGGGCTTCAATCCCTCCTCGCCCCCCGTCTTCAACTCCCCAGGTAAAAGGGCCCTGGGGAGGTGGCCTGGGTACCACCTGGACCCAGCGTCCTCCGCTCACTCTCACCTCCTCTCTCCTCTCTCCTCCTGGCTGACACTGACAGGGAGCTACCGGGAACCCAGTAAGTGAGTCTTTCCTGGTGACGTTTCAGAGACTGGACGGGGACAGGGAGTGGCCTTCTCAAATAGCTTCCTTGAGGGAGCAGGGCTCCTGGGTGCAGGGCCCCGCCCCACACCCCACATCTCTGACTGGGCAGCCAGATGGCTGGTATTCTCTGAGTTTGGGCCTTCAGGTGGGGAGAGGCAGGTGACCAGAGGCAGCACGTAGGGGCAGCCGGGCCTCCTCACACCACTGACCCTCAGCCCCACTTCCACCAACTGCCTGCCAGGAGAAAATGGGCCAGGGCGGGAGCCCCATGTTCTGGGAGCAGGGACCGTGCAGGGAGAGCCCAGGGTGCTCAAGACAGCCCTCCCCCCTGGCCAGACCCAACGGTCTCTCCCTCCCCGCAGAGCACCCCCTGGGTGGCCGGGAGGCCTGCGGCATGGACACCCTTCCCCTCAACGGCAACTTCAACAACAGCTACTCCTTGCGGAGCGGGGACTTCCCTCCTGGGGACGGGGCTCCCGAGCCTCCCCGGGGCCGGAACCTGGCCGACGCAGCCGCCTTTGAGAAGATGATCATCTCGGAGCTGGTTCACAACAACCTGCGGGCGAGCAGCAGTGTGGCCAAGGGCCCCCCGCCGCCAGAGCCGCCTGTGCCCCCGGTGCCTGGGGGCGGCAGTGAAGAAGAGGCGGGGGGGCCTGGGGGTGCTGACCGGGCCGAGATTGAACTTCTCTACAAGGCCCTGGAGGAGCCGCTGCTGCTGCCCCGGGCCCAGTCGGTGCTGTACCAGAGCGATCTGGACGAGTCAGAGAGTTGCACGGCAGAGGATGGCGCCGCCAGCCGGCCCCTCTCCTCCCCTCCCGGCCGGGACTCCCTCTATGCCAGTGGGGCCAACCTGCGGGACTCACCTTCCTACCCGGACAGCAGCCCCGAGGGGCCCAGCGAGGCCCTGCCCCCGCCCCCACCCGCGCCCCCTGGCCCCCCAGAAATCTACTACACCTCTCGCCCGCCGGCCCTGGTGGCCCGGAACCCCCTGCAGGGCTACTACCAGGTGCGGCGACCCAGCCACGAGGGCTACCTGGCAGCCCCTGGCCTGGAGGGGCCAGCGCCTGATGGGGATGGGCAGATGCAGCTGGTCACCAGTCTCTGAGGGACCTCAAGGACCAGCGGCTAGTGGCCCAATGCTGAGAAGGAACCTTGGGCCCGGCTCTGGTAGGGAAGGGGACTGGCAGAAGTAGTGGGGGGGGGGGCCACTATCTCCAGAGGGCACCCCAGGGCTCTGGGCCCGACAGCCCCCTCCAGGAGAACTCCGTCCCATGTAGGGGCCTGAGGTCCAGGGTCACAGACAGGGTTTCCCACCAGCCACAGGCACCAGCTCTGTTTTGGGGGAAGTGCAGTGAGGGGCCCAGAGTCCCCTGCCCCAACCCAGGCAGTGTGAGGAGTGGGAGAGGAAGGGGCACAGCCCTCTGCTGGATGCCCCTCCCATCCCTGTCCTTGCCTTCCTGGGGGGTGGGAAGACAGGTGGGAGGAGCAGCTGCCTTCCGAGGTTGCCCAGGTGGTGCTGGATGGAACCGGTTGATCCGATGGGTCAGCTGGTTGACCAGTCAGCTGCTCGCGGTAGCTCCTGCTGGAGGAAGCAGCGGGGCTGAAGGATGGGGGGCAGGTTTCTCGGGCTCCCCCCTGCTGCTCTCTGGACAGTGGGACCTGAGCCCCTGAGAAAGGCCAGGGCTATGGCTGGTGGTTTAAAGGTGGAACTTTCTCCGAAGCTCCTTCCCCTGCTCTTCATCCTCACGCCCCTCCCCCTCCAGCAAGCTGCCCCTAGCCCTCCATGACTGCACCCAATGACCCCCTCCCTTGGGGCGACTCCTGATGAAGCACAACGCCCTGCAGGGCCCCCAGCCCACAGGGGTGGCCATATTGGGGCAGTCCCCAGTCCTGTGGGCTCGGCTGTCTGGGGAGCAGATTTTGGGTCTGGAGCTCCCTGGGGAGAGTGGGTCCTGGGCTCAGATCTCCCCCTAGGGGGCCCTCTTTTCCTCCCCCTCGCCTCCTCCCCCATCGCTGTAAATATTTCAACGAAATGGAAAAGACAAAAAAAAGAAAAAGGAAAAAAAACAAAAAAAGAAAATCTCATCACTTGAAGCCACCGGGAGCCTGCGGCCCAGGCCCACGCCGGCTCTCCCAGGGGGGCCCAGCAGCGCCCGCCACTCCCGGCAGCCAGGACTCTCCTCCGCGTGCGTGCAGACCCAGCCAGGCAGGGCGGGCAACTGCAGCTTTTTACAACCCAGAGACGGAAAACACAACCTAGAAGCAACAGCGAAACAAAGAACCTGTCTCCTTCCTGGTACCACGTGTCTGTCCTCTCTTCCTCCTCCTCCTCCTCCTCCTCTTCTTCCTCCTCGTCTGCCCCTGCCAGGCGCCAGCCAGCCCTCCTGGGGCGTGTACCTCACCGCCTGCCCCAGGAACAGGGGCCTGCCCCCCACCCCACCTTCCCCTCCCCACTGGCCCAAGGGAGACGCCCTCACACCCAAAGATGCTTTTGCCAAGCTGGCTGAGCCGCCCCTCTGAGTTCCCGCTTCTCGTATATTGCTTCTGGGACTCTGGGCCAGGGAGACAGGGCTCTGTCCTTCTAGAGAGAGGAGTGGGGGATTGAAGACAGGAGCCACAGGGAGAGGGTGGCAGGCCAAGCTGAGGAGGGTGGTGGGGAATGGTGAGGTTGTCTTTGGGGGGGTGGGGATGGGGCAGGCAAGAGACTGAAGGGAGGCAAAGCCAGGTCCAAGGGTCTGGAGTCGGGCCACCATGTCTGAGGACTCTGTCCACCAACCTCCAGACCCTGGAAGCTCCAGTCTGGGGTGCCCCCGAGTACCTCTCCCATCATCTCTCAGTCTCCTTCTCTCCAGCTCCTTACCCTGGCCCTCCCAGCCCACCCCCAACTCTTTGGGGTAGTGTAGCCCCACTGCTGTGCTAGTTCATCTACTTCATTGCCATTTCCCTAGGGGTGGCCCCCACCTCTTCTCCAACCCCTCCCTGTCTCGCCCTGCCCCCCTCGTTTCTCACAAGTGCCATGAGTTTCCAGACATCTCCGGGTCTCAGCCTGCCGCTGCCATGAACTTGAGTTCAGGTAGAGGAGCTCTAGGGAAGCATGAAGGGAAGGGGAACAGGTAGGTGGCTGAGGGGACCCTTTTTGCTGCTAGAAAGCCTCTCCCTCCTCCCGGGGAGCTGGGGCTGGCGTGTCCCCATCGTTTGGGGGAGAAGGGGTCAGACCAAAGATGGTGGTGGTTTGTCCCGTGTAGGGGGGGATAGGTGGGGAGAAGGCAGGGTTCGGTTCAATCTCTGGCATTTTCTGGGGGATGCTTGACCCACTTTGCCAGAAGACTGTGGGTGTGGAGGCTGTGGGGCTAGCTGGGAAGGGGGAGGAGGCGGAAGGGGATAGCTAGCTCTGTGACCCTTCCTTGGCTTCACTAGACCGGGAGCTTCATGGTGGGGAGGGGTTACAGAGTCTGTGAAGGGTGGAGGAGGAGTCGGTTCAGCCCAGGTGAGCCCGGTGTGCGGCTGCCTGAGACACCCGAGGGCTGGGAGATGGGGGCAGGAGTGGGCGAGTTCCTGGGGGTGGGGGGGGACTCATGAACTGGAAGGAGTCCACTTCCTCTGCCCTGCTCAGCCGCCTCTATCTCTCCATACTGACAATCAAAGAGAGGGGTGAGGGGTGGAGCGAGTCCCTTGTTGTCCGGTCCAGCAGGAACGACCAAGGGAGCTTCCAGGGCCTCAGAGCTGTGTGGAGGGCCCCCTGGTGGGGCTAGATGCCACTGCAGCGCT